TATACTCCAATTTTATCCGTACCCTTTTCGTCTATACTCCAACAAATCCTGACCTGTACTGCCTACCTAAGCCCTACCTATCTCAACAATGCATTGAACCCTTTCCGTCCTGGTTGCCCTGGTTACGGCCACTTATCAAGAAGAGGTCTTAAAGATCAAACAGGTGTGGTATCCAGCTGCCGCGATCCTCCCGTTGCTATGGACCTTTGTTCGGCGCCAAGTACAGGTGCACGCGGAGTGTACACAAAAACATGACGGAGGGACAAAAAGCATTTCGCCTCACCGCTGCGGTGCCATAAACTGCCCAGCGACCTATCTGTGCTTCAGAAAGAGGAATGGGGTGGGGGGCGGAAAGGAAAGGAAGGGGGATGGGAGAGGAAAGTCAGACTGAAATTCGACATCAGAGGTGGGCACAGTGAGGGGTCCTGACTGACGGGGAAAGCTGGAGTTGACAGACACGTCTACTGATCGCAAACACCGTTCAGGCGTCCACCCCAGGAAACTCCCCACTAGCACTTCCCCCACTCGCTCATGTGACGCATATTGTCATGTTTCCGTTTTTCAGCGGCTGTCTTCACCATAGTTTTTAGCACTAGAATCCTCTATTTCGCCATCTAAGTGTTTTGATAGCGGCAGGTGGAACGATGCTGTATTTTCGCTTAACTCTCTGTGAATGCAACCTGAAATGTGTTAAATTAAATTTTGACCTATTGATTAGCAAGATACGTGCCTGTTCCAAAACTGAATTGACGACGGTGACTATAAGAGACGACCGGATTCGATTTGAGCGCAATGGCCATGAGGTCATTTGACTTCATTGCGACGTTCTGCAGTTTAGAAAATGCCAGAATTGATTTTTGATGCTATAAAAACAGGCTTGAATTGTTTGCCATGGATGCACAATCGAGGTAATCTGATTGCAGCCTGGGAAATCTTAAGTGAATCAGAGGTTTACATTCTGTATTATTAGGTGTTTCTTTAAAAAGAACGGGCCGTTTCCACGCAGGACGTTTTGGGTGAAATTCGCCATGGATGATATATCTAAAATGGGAAATTATCACAGACAAACATAAAACAGCAGATATATGCACTCCACCGAATATTTTTCAACGTCCCTCTGACAGGCAGATTGGGGGGTTTGGAGCACATTCACCACTTCCACATCTCTCCAATTTCAGCACTGTAAAAAAAAAAAAAAAAAAAACAACAAAAAAAAACGGTAAAAGGTCGTTTTGACTGGGCTCCTGGGAGAGAGCATGTTCAGGTAATTAAGTGTAGTTTCACTCAGCCCCCTTGTCAAGGCAATTACCGTAAATCATATGCTCTTACCCGCGTTAATTACCGAGAAATCGGTCTGTACACCACTGACTGACAACCACTGTCTGGCCTGCACATATTTACAACAATAACAATTATCCGATGTACCGTTACATCTGTAACAACTGTGGTCAAAACAGATAATGCTTGTAAAGTGTAACCAAAGCTATTTAAATTGGGGAAAGGGGGGGGGGGGGGGGGGTTCTGCGCTATTACTTTAACCTATTAAACATTTATGATAAGTTTCAAATTCAGATTCAAAAAATGACAACTAAAAAACAACTTATTTGACTGAGATTAGCGTCAACTGAAATGGTAATATATTGTATTTATTATGATATATTAAGCTATATTACAGGCAAAATGGTCAACTTTTGATTTATATAAATATTATAAACACTGGAGTCCAAAAAATCCTCAGTGAAAATAAGGTGTAAAATTTAAAACAAAGAAATGTTATTAGATAGATAGATAGATAGATAGATGGATAGCATATTGAGGCAAAACAATGGCACTGACATATTTTAAGTCTGTGATACCGGGGATCAGAGATTCATGTGGATAATATACGTTTTAATGAACAAAAATGATTAGATTTGAAAAATTTACACTACTGGACTTCACTGTAAATAAACCACTTCTTTGCTCCTCAAATCTTTAACATTAACCTAAGAAACTGTATTTAGGGCTGACTTCTATTCCAGACTGTATATTTCTCCTCAGCGTTTCAATTGTAGATTTGTATCTACAGGAATAGTGCTGAGGAGCCACAAGCACGCTCAGCAGCTCTCTCTCTCTCTCTCTATCTCAACCGCACACAGCACTCGCAGCAAGTCGGTAAGAGATGGAATTAAAGCATCTCTGCAGTGCTTCTTCCTCAAAGATAGAGCGAGACGGAGAGAGAGCGAGTAGGAAGTGGGAAGTCACCTCAGTCACTGTAAGTCTAATCAGCTCAGCTCAGTGCCTGGGGAGAGCGAGAAAGAGAGAGAGAGAGAGAGAGAGAGAGAGAGAGAGAGAGAGAGAGAGAGAGAGAGAGAGAGAGAGAGAGAGGAAAAGAGTGAGAGAGGTAACAATTTTAAGGGGTGACTGAACTGCCATGTAAGGTGTTCCTGCTATGTTCCCTCAAAGGATGGGTTCACTAGATGTGAAGGGAATCAAATTAGGAGTGGTGGCCATCCGGGTTGGGGGCCGAAAAGACCGTGTTACTGTGGTGTTATTGCATTAAAGAAATCTATCTATCTATCTATCTATCTATCTATCTATCTATCTATCTATCTATCTATCTATCTATCTATCTATCTATCTATCTATCTATCTATCTACAGTATCTATCTATCTACAGTATCTATCTATCTATCTTTTAGTATTTTCTTTAAAAAAGTGTTTTTGTTTTCTTAAAATGGAAAACCGATTCATACCTGAACTCTCTGATCACTTCAGATGGAAAAAAGGTGCTTTAGTTACTGGTTTAATAATTGCTTTTTCTTTTCTTTTTTTGCAATTACTCATTATCATGCTCCACATCTGCTGTGGAACATTTTCATTTAAACATCTGAATGCGAGTCGAACACGTCTCCGACAAGATTTCTGAGCTAACTGACATCATTATCTGCCGTCTAAGCTCCATAATCGGCTGCCCTAATGCATTTTTTAATTGTATTCTTTCCCCAATACATGTTCCACACATGAGTTGAGAAGGAAAAAAAAAAAGTACCACCTATTAAATGAACATCTCGTCATCTGCCTGACCAGCTATTTCGGATCTCTCCATTAGCGAGACGCGACGAATCCGTCTGACGTCCGAACTGTCACATCTCCCGAGCCTATAAAGATCCCTATAACATGCTCAACAATCCAAAAAATGGAGACAATTGATTTCCGCCTGCCAAGAATGACCGTAATAAAGTTTTACAAGCATGACGAATCCCAGAGGTTATGATCTATGAAGATTCTCAAAGGAAAAAGATTTCTCTCTCTCTCTCTCTCTCTCTCTCTCTCTCCATCGAATCATCTTTAGACAAATGGTGGCGACAGTATAATTGGACATTAGTCTTAATTCGCATGTTACAGGAGCTAAATTGAATGCTCGCTCCCTTTGGCTGGACACCGAGCTCTTTCTCTCCACGCGGCGCGTTTGCTTTTTCTAATTGTGCCCAGTGAAAGGCGGCCATCCTAAACTGAAGAGCATAATTTAACTGGCCTTAATAAAGGATTACTATTCAACGTAGAGCCCATTATTTTCCAGCCAGACTCCCGACAGGAGATCAATAGGAACGGTACTCTCACCCTTGTCTTTTTTTCTTTCTTTCTCTCACTTGCTCCCACTTCTCTGGAATCTTAAGTAAATGTATAAGTGCGTGCGGAAACGGGTTCGGCTACTTAAAGAAAATGAGAGGGGACCGAAAGAAAAAAGGCCGGCCCTGACTTTATTCATACAAAGTGAGGAGCCTATTATAGCTAATATATTTTTTTAATGGGAAAAACCATAGTTGATCCGAGCTAATTTCCCTTGTGCGGCTTGGGCTCTGAAAGTAATCCATCACCTCAGTATGAGGCGGTGGCGGCAAGTAGCCACGTCTCTAATGATGCTCTCCTTCAGAGGGCTAAAGAATCGCGCTGTCAGTCTCCGCTCAATGGCGTCTCCGACACAATGGCCTCCCGATTGTTGCTTTCTCTTTGTATGTGCTAACTCAAGCAGGGCCTTATACAAAATGAATGGGCTGATGTAACCTTAGCTTCGACGATCCCCTGCCATCCCAAAACACCTGTCAGTCATGCGCAGGTGAGTCTGACGGAGAGTCTTCTGAGCTAAGCCCGAATCGTGTTACGTCGCGGCGGGCCGCTCCATGGCCGAGGCTTTTGTTGTTGTTGTTGTTTTTGTTGTAGAGCCCTCCGCCCTCTTCGGACTGAAAGCAAATAGAGTGTTTCCTTCAGAGGGAAGAGGGCACAGTCCTGTCGCTACTGCCTTCTGAGGAAGGTGGAACTAAATGCACTCAGCTGTCCTTCTTCAAATGTCACTATCAAAGGTCTGGGATGTGTTTTAGCGAAATGATGTGCAAGCTATAAGGAAAGGCCACCTTTCCTGCCTCGCCTTTGCTGTCGCTCTCTCTTCCGTGCATTGATCTGTCATTTAAAACTGATCACTTCATTATCTCCTGGATGGCGGACGTTACGTGGGAGTCGTGAGCGTGCTTAACTGAGTGCTTTCTGGTTTATGGCCGGCTTTTTATACCGCTTCGGTGGCTAATGGTAATTCAGGGAACGTAGGATTGATGGGACCATGGTTTAATGCTTAGAAATACTGAGCGTCTTGACTATGTAGCCAAGTTTCGAGCAAAATGTATAAGTATGACCGGATTTTGACCAATGAGATTTGGTGGGCGGGGCTATGCAATGCTGATGGTCATATTTAAATGGCTGCACTATATAAAATAAAATTGCTAAACACAGCCAACGTGGGGTTAAAAGATTTTTTTTAAAGATTTTTTTTTTTGATGTGCAATTATCAAAGACTAAAACATAAGTGACTCTTCGAACAGCTTTGATTTGTGGAAAATTGAATAGTTGCAATATCATAATGACAAAAATAGAATAATTAAAAAATATATTATATAATATATGCAAAATTGCAAACATAGTCAACACAGTACTTTAATTCTTGGTATTGCATTTGTAATACTTACATTTCCTCTCTATTTTTCTTTAAAGGTTTCCACTCGTTAACCATTCGACGTGTGATTCGCAGCAGCTTTTCGAGCAGACCTGTTATTCGAAATAGGGGATTGTTGGCTGAATCACCTTCCGTTTTGATCCTCATCGGACCGAACGCGAGGACACAAGGTTGCCACAGTAGCCTTCAGATACGGGCGACATTTTGCGGGGTGTGTGAAGTCTTCTCAATGGAAAGGGCAGGTATGCTTCAAGTAATACCACATTATGAGCTCCCGTCAGTCTCGGAGTTCTCGGATTCCCACTGGCTCTCTGGAGAGCTTTAGCTCGTGTTGCTTCTGAAGCTGAAAGCACACACATAGAAGAAGCTCTTAATAAATATTCATCTTCATAGACGGCCAGTCAATTCCATATCCTATAAAAATGTGTTGGGCTTACTGCTGGTTTTATCCCAGTGCTGATATTGCAGAACATCCATCCAGTATATTGAAAAAGATTACAGAAAGCCCTGTCGGCAAAGATATTGAAGTGACTCTCGACGCCTTACAAACACAGACTTCCGTTTCAGCAGATGTTGGCCTGGGCCGCTGTGGAAGACTAGTGATTTTGTTGTTGTTCCTTCTGCTTTCTGACAACAAGTCACAGTCTACCTCAGCGACCAGGTCCATGGTCTAACAGTGTGGAAACCCTCTGACCATGCCCTCTGCCAAACGAGAGGCTCATCTCTGACCAGATGCGTTCGTTTTCTCCTTCATTAGACAGGTAAGTCGTGTCTGATTGTTGCTTGTAGCTAATGCTCATAATTAACCATGTTTTGGACCCATGGACATGCTGCCTAACAATGAGGCTGATTAACTGGTTTTTGTTTTTTTTAAACCCATCATTTTGAATATTCAAACAGCGCTGTTAGCCATGTCTTTTGTTTTGTATGTGTAAACGCGAAAATATTCATCTGAGAGTTGGATTTTATTTCTGGTGTTGCAAACGTAGCCCTGTAGGACGCGATTGCACGGACCAACTTAAGGTGAATGTTTTTGTGTAGGAGGGTGGTGTGTTTCAAGGCCTCGAGCTCTGAGTTGATCTTTTATTCATGCAAACCTTGTACACTTCTGATGAAGCAATTATCTCCGAAGCAAATCGCTTTTGTTCCGTCTGTTAAACGATATGCAATTGCATCAATATTTTCTTTCAAACTGATTAAAAACGTCATCCTGATACCTGCCTGAGTCGCCTCCTTTTTTTCTGAAACAAACCACGGAGAAAATGTAATTGTGCTTCCACACAAATCAGATGTACTCCTGTTGCTTTATTAATCAAATCAGCTGAGGTTATTAATCTAGTCCCTCTTAATTAAGAGGCCATAGATAGGTGAATTGCAGCATTTGTAATGGTATTGTGCAGCTGATGGATACACAGACCAATAAAAGCCTTCGGTAATGGCTTCGCTGTGTCTATGAATATGCATTAGCCCAGCGAACGATGAACAATGAGAGTGGGTGTTACCTTCAACTCTCAGCGAACGGTGTAGGATGTTTCCATGGCGACCACCATGGCAACGCTGTGCTGAATTACTAGCCTCGGCCTTGAGAGGGGCTGTTGTCGACAATACTCGCCGCCTGCTTTTATCATGCTAAAACTATAGAGTGCACTAGGTTATTACGACTCCATTACTTTAAGAGTAATTCATTTAATAAGATATTGCTCCTCCCAAAAAAGCCCATTCAGGGTCGTCCACGGATTGATCCGAATGAACTCGTTCAGTGTTATTCAAGGGGGGAAAATGGGTTGGAGATTGAGAGAGCGCACCATTTTCATTTGCAATGATGCTTTACATTATGATCAAATCTTTCCCTCTCTGTCCTCCGGCCCTGGTGATGGGTCAAAAGATTTCAATTACTGCCACACAAGCGCTCAACATCCTGGTCTACAGAGCAGGGTTCAACAGGTTCATCAGCTTCTCATTTCCGATTGCACCAATAAGACCTTGTTTAAATATTTCAGGAAGTAAGCAGCATTTTCATTCTGAAACGTACTGCACTGGACATAAGATGACCCTAAAGGTTTATTAGAAATTATTAGATCACAAAGGGAAAACAGAAATGAATCAAACTTTTTAATTCAAAACTATACACACACATACATATATAAAGTCTCAATTAATCACATAAACATAAGTGTGTGTGTATATAGCCTATTATATATATTTCTTGTTAGAGATTTGTTAGAGAGCCTACACAATGTCCACTTTCATCAGAAACTTTGAATGCTAAAAAAAAATCCCCAATGACATATAAAGAGGAGGATATAAGGGTCAAGGGTGAAGTCATAAATCACACTGTCTGTAGCCTTCTAAGCATCATGTGGGTTACATTTTGTTTTAAAGTGCATGCGTAATACTGCACATTAAGAAAATATATAATGCATCAAGTATTTTTTTCTCATTTAAAATATCAAAATGATAAATGCTAATAAAATCAGATTGTTCAGATTGTTGTTGCACGTACTATTATGCGAGAACGCTTCTACGTTATGCGTTCCGGATCATAAATGTTCGAATTACAGGATTAAATCTTTTGTGTTTCGTGGCAGCTTTTATATTTCTGAAAGCCGAAAGCAGGCTGTTGTTTGAGAGGACGTGTCAGAAATAGCAGACTGCCTCTCACACACACACAGTCCCTTGAGAAGCCCGACTGTAATCCTGACGGCAGTGATTGTGTAAGAGCGCCACCTGCTGTACGCTGAATAACCCTACAGCTCACTTATGACGTCATGCCGTGCAGACGCCCAAGCCGAGTATGGACAATATGAGGCTAATTGCGATTTTATAATTAATACAATTACGAGACACCTTATTATGCTGTGATTTAACAAGATTCTACACAATTTTGGAGTTGAGACTAAAAACTGAGTTTTAAAATGTTGAATATTTATATCATTACATGACACGATGCCAAGGCGAGATAACGGAGAGACATCGCATACAAACTCGTGCCAACTGCACTTCCTACATGACAGCTGCCATCATTTGAGTGCCCAGCCGTGAGTGAGTCTGCCCACCATCTGATGACTGGGAGGATGACAGGAACACGGAGTGTGACTGGGAGTGATCCATAATAACACACACACACACACACGCTACGCACGTTGTGTTTTCATGTCTTGTGGAGACTTTCCATAGGGTTTAAATACTGACTGTATACTCTATCCTCTCACACAAGTCCAAGCATCACATAAAACTTTCTGCTTTGTTATATTTTCCAAAAACATCACTTAGTAGCCTGATTTATGTGTTATCCTCATGTCCTCACAAGGACAAGGATTTCGGATACTACCATCTCTGCGGGGACAAAAAATGCAGGGTTTACCAGGCCATGCGCTCGAGCAATCCACATCTCTTTATATTAATGTGGTTGGTAAGAAAATTGAGATGGGAATAAATGAACTGTCCTTCTTGGATTTACTTGCAATTTGCCTAATGTCGTGTTGCTAGTCTCTGTTTTCCACAGTTTAATGTGGAGACTCAGGCTGTAGGTTATACTTATTAGATTTTGGTTTAGCCAGCTTAATATTCTTCAATTCTAATGCAACATTTCTGTTACAATATACTGTGATTTTTAAGTCGAACCAACAAGCAAAGCATGTTAATTAGAAGTATTTTTTTTTTCAGGCATAAACTGCTAACATTTGTGGAGCCCCATTCTCCCTCTTGAATAATTAGGGCATTGTTTGACTGTTTGCCAATTCAATTTACACTTTTTAATTTTGTCATCACTTACTATCGTGCATGATATCAGAATTGGGGTTTTCTTATAATTCAATGATCCAGTATAGGTTTTAGGTTGGTTTCAAACATTTCAGTAAAGATTGTGCCCTGAAAATCACTTTTTCATTTACATTTAAATATTAGCAATTCCTGAGGTTTTTGTGTACCATTTTAAAGTATCCCAACCAGAAGCCCCTAACAGAAAACCTGAGATTAAAAACATCAAATTTAAAAAAATAGCATAACTGTTTTTAACTTGATAGAGTTTAACAAATGAAAAGTGCTGAATCTGAATAATTATGTGGGTATTTTTACACAGACATTATTTTCCAGGGGAATGTATAGCTACTGAACATCTGTGGTTTTAATTTGAGTTCTAACCTCCAAGAAAACAGGTTTTTACTGCGGAAATACTCATAGAATATGGATGACAAGATGTTGGATGGGATTTTTTTTTTTCTGGTCATCTCACCGATGCATCTGCTGTTCAAATAATGATATAATAGTTATTTGTATTGTCTTATTTATGCATCTTAAAGTCTCCAAATAGCCAGTAGTTTGAACTGGGGTATGAATTTTAGAAACACATATTGAAGATTTTCCTTTGTCACAAGCCTGCTAAAAATGTCTAAATATATATATATATGCTAATGTGTAATTATAGCACAGATGTTCCAGTTGCAAGTGAACCATCCAACAAAACAGAAGGTTAATGGGGAAGTATGTGTGAGAAGGGGAAAAGCGTTCATATGTTAATAGCCTGTTGGATAATTATTTTGTCCACTGTGTAAAATGTTTCCGCACCGATGTCATTTGAATCATAAAATGTAAAAAAAAAGAAAAAAAAGTAGTCTATATGTGAAGCATATGGCAAGTTCAAAACATCACCAACAAAAATCTTATGTTGAGTTGGCCAAATTCCCCTCTGTATTTTGTATTTTTCACATAATGCTCTGATGTTATTAATATTCTGCCGCAATTCATACAATCCACTCAGTATTTATGAGGTTTAATTCAACGCACAATTAAATGAATCATTTTATTGAAGCCTAGCTAACAATGCTGAAATGTCAATATTGTTTCACTTTCATTTTCACGGTCCCTAACAACACCGAGGAACATACTTAGGGTTACAAAATTAGTTATGAATTGACAAATCCAAACCAATCCAAGTGGATTTGTTCGTACCATGATGCTGATCATCAACTTTCTCTGTCAACTACAACATCTCTAAAAAAAATAAATAAAAAAAAACATTACACCAATAAAACAAAAGTGAAAATATCTGTATACAACAATTTGGCTTCATGTGTTTTTTTAGGCATCAGATCACCGATTTTAAAAAGTTCAGTCATATGTTAACATAGGGGCTTCGTGGCTTTGGTTTAACTAATTCTGTATTATTTGATATGGCTACAGTATTGTTGCTATACACGTGTTTACAGTACCAACAAAACATGACATTTATCTCTGGCATTATAAGCTTAGCCTATCTATTCTGAAACATTTATGAAAGACAATCTAATAAAGTGGTTTCTTACATAGAAGAAAGAAAAACTAAGAAAAATAAAAGCCACAAATCTATTTTCTTGAAATTATCAATGACTCAGTCTCAACTCCTGTCTGACTCATCTCTGCACTACTTAAACAACAGGATTATTGTGTGGAAACACAAACTTGGGTATCTGGAAACACATAGGCTAATGTACACTATGGCTTGTGTAAACTGTCTATGTGTTTTGCTGTTTAAATACTGTTTGAAAAGCCTGTTTAATGGAAAGGCTATTGCAACAAACTGAACTCATAACAACGACCTGCCCGAACGTGTTAAAGTTCACCCGAAAATGAAAATAACCTCACCCTGAAGCCAAGCTCTTCCAAGCTTTTTAATGGGAGTGAATGAGTATATTTTCATAAATCCATCAAAGCGCAACCATCCCTGATAAAAGCGCTCCACGTGGCTCTGGCGGCTTAATAAAGGTATTCTGAAGTGAAGCGATGTGTTTGTGTAAGAAAAATATCCATATTTAAAAATGTAATCGACTAAAATAACTAGTTTCCGCCTAACGGCCGTACGCATCGATTTATGGCGAAAGACTAACCATTCAACTTGACGCACAATGTAATGATGAATGCGTTTCCCATCCCAGCCCTGTTTGTTTGAATCGCGAGAGGCGTCAAAGCTCAAGCTACTCCTACATTCTACGTCATACATCTTCAAATTTGCGTAGGCAGCCTGTCGGAAACTAGTTATTTTAGTCAATAAAGTTTTAAATATGGATATTTTTCTTATACGAATGGATGCGCTTTAACGGACTTCAAAAAAATACAGCCATTCACTGCCATTATAAAGCTTGGAGGAGCCGGAACATTTTTTAATATACCTCTGATTATATTTGTCTGAAAGATGAAAGTCATGTATGCCCAAAATGGCTTCAGGGTGAGTAAATCATGGCCTAATTTTCATTTTGGGTGAACTAACGTTATCCCTTTAAGGGAATGTTGAGTTATCCTGAGAAATTGTACAGGCTAAAATGATTCTCTTTCTAGAACGACTTGTTAACAGCTGTCATACAAATCCCGATAATTCAGATTATGAATTCAGTAACTTAAGCCTATAAAATAAAAAAGGAGCTGCCAAAGACACAACATATCCCTAGAACATATGCCTCAGTGACTGTAGGCTGTCTAAAAGAAGCAGCGAGGGATCAGACTCGAGAGACTAACCTCAAGCTCTTCCCCTTTCCTCCATGCGCCGTGACGTCATTGATCAGCTGACTGGTTTGTTTTGTTGGGTAAGACAGACTCACAGGACGAAGCGACGACACGCAACTGAATTATACGATTTCGCATTATAAAACATATTACAGATTAAGATCTGTTCAGGGAAAGAAAGGAACCCAAAGTAGGCAGTTTTGCCTAAAAAAAGGTGTCTAATCTAATTTTAAACATGCCTTCGGAGAAGACATTTAAACAAAGGAGGACATTTGGTAAGTGCATCGACTTAATATCACCAGATATTCGCTTTTGTACTGTTTATCGTAAATAAACCCCTCAGTATTGATCTTACAACATGACACTTTACATTAGACTATATGCAGGAAAAGTTAATTGTTGTACTTTATTTTTGATCGCGTACACAGTACGTTAAGTTATAAGTGCCCAATGTTAATCCAGTATTATTTTATTAAAGTATCAATATTTATAAAGGCGATACACGCATCTTCTATGATAATCGTGTATTAATTGCGTTATAGAAAAATAGGTATTGTTGCTCTGTAGTCAAACTGGGTTAAGGGTGTCGGCCGGGTATAGGCGCTAGCTATATATTAATGTTCAGACTGTACACTCATAGAGACTGCATATCAATCATAACAAACGGCATAAATAATTAATATTACTTTATTTTCAACGTACCACAATTAAAACAAATGTCGCAATGTCTTTGTTTATGGGCAGATGTTAGCTAAACTCCGCGCTGCAGGATTGGGGGATGGGACTCGTCGTTTAAGGTTATTTGGAAGGACTCGAGTAAACAATCGGTGCCGAATGATTATTGCGTAGCAGCTATATTTCCTTTAGCGACTGTTGAAATAGCCGCGACAGTTTAAAAAAATAATAATATTATTGCGGATACTGTCATCGTTGCGCTCAGTTAACTTACAGGCCTGTTTGGAGGCGAAGTAACGACTTTTTTAATTGTTTCCTTTTTCATAACCGTGACCACTCTTGTCATGTTTCCATCCCGCTTTGGGACTGAAGTGGAAAATAGCTGATAACATAAGCTAGTCAGAGAATTAAAGGGATAGTACACCCCAAAAAAGACAATTCTGTCGTCATTTACTCGTCAATATGTTTTTCCAAACCTATACGAGTTTCCTTCGTTTGTTGAACACTAAAGAAAATATTTCGAAGAATGTTTGTAAACAGACAGTTGACTGCACCCATTGACTTCCATAGTTTTTTTGGTTGTTTTTTTCTACTATGGAAATCAATGGCCACCATCAAGCATTTTTCAAAATATATTCTTTTTAGTTCAACAGAAGAAAGAAACCCATACAGGTTTAGAAACAACATAAGAGTAAGTTAAATGCTGACAATTTTAATTTTTGGGTGAACTATCTATTTAATCTGACAACATATAGGTCTTCCAATTTGTACCTACTTTTTAGATCACTACTTAAGATTTTACAAAGGCCTCTGTTTCTTGTTGTAAATAGCTATAAAACAAATAATTTAGCCTATAAATGACCCAATTCATCAGTGTTGTGATAGCCAGCCCAAGCAAGATCACGTCAGCAATGAATTAATTCAATGAATCGAACCAAACTGGATGAATCAGACTCAGTAATACTTAATGTTCTGACTCGCAGTCTGACTTGAATTCTATTACATGTTATAAACATGCATACGCATACCAAAGAATTTTAATGAATGTCATTTTACCTCATACCATGACTACTGAACCATCTGAACTGCTCCACATTAAGCTACAGTGAATACACCCAATAAAACATCCTCAAAAGGATGAACCAGGTCTTTGAAACGAAACTAAAGGACGAGTTTCACGGAAGTGAGTGTGGTTAGTTGTCAAGCCTCATAAAGTTACCACAGTTGCTCAATATGCACGTGTCATCAGAAACGTGCTGTCATGAACATCACTCACATGCACATTTCTTAAAATATCAAATCAGTGTTTTCTAGAATATCTAGAATCAACGTTTTATAATTTTATGGTTGCTGTAGATACTTGCGGCCTTAAAGGGATAGCTGACTAAAAAACGAACATTCTGTTATTATTTACGCACTCTTGTATGCCAATAGAACAGTTTAATCTGGAACAGAGCCTTCATTTCATTGATGACCTTAATTGTTCTCTTGAAACTGAACTACAGAATAGAGTTGACAACTTTAACTGGACCTGTAAAACACAATTCAGCTTGGTCCATTAGAGAATGGATTGATACTTGAGGCCCAACCCAGTAAAATGTCTGTGGTTTAATGCGTCCTGTATTGTGATCTGCCTGTATCTAATATCCTCTCCTACTTCCTCTCCACAGAGCAGCGGGTGGAGGATGTTCGGCTGATCCGGGAACAGCATCCTAACAAGATCCCGGTAAGCGGATGTGTGTGTGTGTCTGTGGAGCTGGAGCTGAAAATTAAACTTGATAACCAATTAAAAAGGCTTCCACGCTTAGCATGGGAGACATTTTTACCAGTATAGACCTTGAAATGATAAATAAGTGAATTATTAATATTAGAATATGGTCACATTTTTCCTCTTTTGTTCTAGGTGTGCCTTTTTTTGTGAAAGTAAAATATAATAGCTAATTTATATATGAAGAGTTCAGATGCAAAAGCCTCTAAATGCCATTTGAAATTTTCTTCTTTAATGATGATTTTTGTCAAGCTTGTATATTTAAGTTCAGTGATTTCACTTAAATGGCAATGCTAATTACCTATTAATTGTTATTTAAGTGAAATTACTGAACTTAAATATACAGGTTTGACAAAACTCATCATTAAAGAAGAAAATTTCAAATGGCATTTAGAGGCTTTTGCATCTGAACTCTTCATATCTTTTTTTTAACATCACAAAACACTGGATTTAAATGGATACTTCACTCGCTCAAAAAGGAAAATCTGTCATCATTTACTCATCCTCATGTTATTTTTCTGCGTAACACAATAAAGATATAAAGTAAATGTAAAATTTAAACATGCTCAGCTGTGTGAATTGGACAGAATAGTTTAATCTTATAGATAATCTTAAAAGGAAGGTTGTCAATAGACCTAGTTAAACAACTAGCATATGAATGGCTGCGTTTGCATATATGTATAGGGTCTTTATCAACCTCTTAAAGGCCAGTCATTGCTATTGTAGCCAGGTGTCACCTCTATTGACAGCGCCTCAGGGTTACCAGAACCAATTGTTATTCAAGCTGACCAGGATAGAGTGGTCAACTTCCCATGTGCTAAACACACACAACCCTCCACCCAAACCAGCTCTTTTCAATGGGAAAGTGTGGACACGCAAATATTAAACTTTAAATTCAATGTTTTTTTTTTTTAAATGGACCAGAAAGTGGGGGACAAAAATACTATGCTAAAAATTTTAATCTAATAAAAAATAACAACATTGATAATATTTTAAATAGGGCTGTCAAACGATTAATCGCATCCAAAATAAAAGTTTGTGTTTACATAATATATGTATATGTAGGTGCACTGTGTATAATTATTTTGTATATATATATATATATATATACAAAAACATGCATGTATATTTAAGAAAAGAAAAAATATTATTTATATAAAATATTTATATATAATATAAATCTATATACATGTACATGAAAATATTTCTAAAATATATACAAGCATGTGTGTGTATATAAAATAATTATACACAGTGCACCCACATATATTATGTAAACACAAACTTTTATTTTGCATGTGATTAATCGCTTGACAGCCCTAATTTTAAAACATTAAAAATATTACTGATATACAGTATATATTACATTTTATTAGAACTGTTAAATCGATTAATCGCATCTAACTTAAAAGTTTGTAAATATATATATATGTGTGTATTCCTAATGATATTTATCCATATATGCTAAAGTTTCAAATGATTGTGTTTCAGGTCATCATTGAAAGATACAAGGGAGAGAAGCAACTGCCGATTCTTGACAAAACTAAGTTTTTAGTTCCTGACCACGTGAACATGAGCGAACTTATTAAGATAATCAGGTAACCTCTTACGTTATTCGTTATATATCTTTCATTATTATTTTTTGGGGGAAAAATCGACTTTGCTAACGCATTTCTGGTTTTAATAGGAGACGCCTCCAGCTCAACTCCAACCAGGCTTTCTTTCTGCTTGTCAACGGTCACAGCATGGTCTCTGTGTCCACTGCCATCTCTGAGGTCTACGAGCGCGAGCGGGACGAGGACGGCTTCCTGTACATGGTCTACGCATCCCAGGAGACATTTGGATCTGCGCGTCCTCTGTAAAAAAGGGCAAAACGATTGGCTTTCACTCTTTTGGACAATGATACAACCTACCCTGAACTCTAGACCTTTCCTCTATATCCATATCCACTTTCCCGCCCGCCATCCAGACAGGAACCATCTGAACTTTTATTCATTTGGCTCGAATCCCTCACCCATCCCAGACATTATCCAAAGCTCAATCCTAACTTCCCACGTCTCAGCCCCTTCTGTTCATTTGTGTTTTCATTATGGATGAGGAGTCATTTTGTTTAGGTTGTAGGACAAGTTATGGTAAGATAATGCTCCATGTTTACTCAACACAAATCTTGAACGAGAGACTTCTGCGTGTAATGATGGAATCATCTGTTTAACTTAGCAGTTATATTTCCGAAATGGCATCTAGTGTAACGTTAGGCGGACAAATAGTTTTGAAGGTTATTCGTAAGCTCCATTTCGGCTTGGAGGGGTCATGTTGCTGCCAGCGCACTCTGGTGACCTTTAACCCCTCCTGTTGTCAGTCGAATCTCTTTATTTGTGGAGTTCGGCGGTCTTTCCGTACCTCTAGGTGTGTTTTTTGCCGTTACACTTTCCTGTTAGAAACGATTCAGTCTTTTTCACCTCCCCCTCAAGCTTTTTGCTAATTGGGTCATGAGCGTGGACTAGCTTCTCGGATTTCACAACTCAAGGTTCAAAACGCCGTCTTACTTGCGTCGAAATTTGAAGTATTCTCCAGTGGGACGTAACGGGGGAAAATAAATTGGAAGCAATTCATAATACAAGAAATTCTGCGTTGATTGTAGTGTGAAGCTTTGAAAGTGCAAGTTTAGGAAGGAAAATAGAATTAGAATCAATGGTACATTGTGCGAATGAATGTGGCTTTAGCGATTGTGGCCTCAATCCATGGACACGGGTGCTGCCCGAACATCCTTGCTCTTGTATATGCACGCTTTTTAGACTTTCAATTTTATTAGAAGATTATTTACGCCTTTATAAAAATATAACTGTGAGCTGTCGTACCTCTTTCCATCTGTATGTCTTACAGTAATATGTACAGATAAGCTTAGATGCCTTTCCTCCTGAGCATTTATTTGCTCTTATTTAAAATTATGTTTTTCCCCCCGTTTTGTTCATGTAAAAAACATTCATGTGTGATAATATTGTGCAATTTACAAAAGTGACTGTTTGAATGAGAGTTTTACTCATTATCGAACTAAGCTCATTTCTGTGTTTCTCCTGCTCAGATTTACAGCAATATTACACGTCTATTTCTGTTGATATTTTAAAAATAAAAGAGGAATATATATCCTGTTTGGCCTTTTCTTTAAAGTTTTCCCTCAAAATGATTTAATATGTGCAACGTAACTGTATTGGTTAGATTTAGGATTGTCCAATATTGTCTTTTTTTCTTTTTATTATATATTTTTGAAAGAAATGTAATACTTTTATTCAACAAGGATGCATTAAATTGATCAAAAGTGACCAAATTTGGGGAGTGACAAACAAAATAACAAAAAAACGGTTTGCAAATCATCATATAAGAATGATTTCTAAAGGATCGAGTAATGATGCTGAAAATTCAGCTTTATCATCACATGAATATATTACATTGTTAAATATATTCAAGTAGAAAACTAGTTATTTTAAACTGTAATAATATTTCATAACAACGTTTTTACATAACCTTCACCGGTTAAATCAATCTGCTTAAACCAGAATTCTCAAAAACATTTTTAATTCATTTTAAAAAGTGACGAATTGATACAAAAATTCAACAATCAATCTTCAATGAACATTCACCTCTGAATATAAAATGGCTGCGTCAGCATTGTCGTTTTAGGTCAAAAGCGTTCCTGCGATAATAATACTACACATAATATATACAGCACGTAGTAATTCATTATCAGGCAACATGCATATCCAGCAACTGCAAGATCTAGAATTAAAAACAGAAATGTTCTGTAAAAAGGCAGCTAGACACTGAAAAACACTGATCATAAATATCACAATGGAATGGCAACTATTGGCTAAATGGGTCTTATTGTGTAAGTCTGACCCTTTTCAACACTTTGGAAAAATCATATGCCCATGTAATTGAGAAACAATGTGGAAAAACCCACTGTTTTGACCTTTTTAGTGTGAAATACTAAAAATGGTTTCCTCTAGTGTTCAGTTCGTCTGGGAAGCAATTTCTGCAAATTAAAAAGTTAACGGTCTCGAGTGCTTTGACTGTATAAACGTCTTTTATTTTAGTGTCACGCTGACATGGCACCTTTATTGCGAAGAGAACATGGAACATGTAATAAAAAACATCATTCAAAAGTAGCAAAAACCGAGACATTAACAAATATACCATGATTGCGACAAACAGGAACACAACACGATGATTAAGAAGACGTTTGGAAGTCAAAAGGCTAAACACTTACCTCTTAAGATGGAATACAACATTTCCACTTCCTTAATTGTCAGTTTGTTCTTTCCTATATGAATTTACAGAAAAAAATCTGCCAGTATTTTATTCCCAAAGGTTGAATTGTCACACCAAGAGCAAAAAGACTTGGCCATCATTGCACGTTATTTGGCAATTTTTATCATTTTACCTCTTTGTTTTGCTTCCAAGAATGACATGTGCGATAAATGTTGACTTACACTGTTGGCTGCTCCACAGTGACTTGCTCAAGCGAGTCTCAAGTGAAACAACCAGTGTGAAGAGTATGAAGAACACACTTCTTTGAGCATCTCTTTACAAAGATCCACTGTGAAGTGATTCTTTGGCACGAGGCTTTCTATCGGAAGCCATAGGTGATCAAACTCGATCTTCCTGTAAAGAGATACTGTCTTTGCTCAGCGGGGGTCTTACATTAAGTATGTTTACACACACTGAGGAAGGTGCAGGTCCAGTTCATACTCATCGTTTAGTCCCCTGAGTCCTGGCTGTCTGACTGCGGAGAATATTTCAGACGAAATGTCCCTGCAAAAAACAAAACATGTTGTTTTTATTTCTTCCAAAAAATAACTTTTTTTTTTACCATTTCTGGAGAACATGTGGTAATTATTGTGCACACACAATGTTGTCAATTTGATTTATGTACAAACTTCTATGTTAGAAGTGATTAATCATGATTAAACAATCAATAAACAAATTGCTAAGTATTTTCCCCCCAATATTTAGATTTTATTTCAGCTTAATTTTTATTTTTTTATAACTATTTAAAAAATGTAACGTAACGAGGTGTAGGGTTGGGTATCGTTTGAATTTGAACGATTCTGATTCCGATTCCTTGTTTCGATTCCAGTTCCTAGCGATTCTCGATTCCGATTCCGTGTTTCGATTCCGGTTCTTTTAAGAGGTAAGCTTAGCTAACCTTGCTAACCAACAGCCTTTCTGAAGGAAATACTCCTTCTGTAAAAATACTCCTTTTGTCACAAATTTTGCATTTTGTGAAGTTACACTTTGGATAAGGTACTCATGTTCGACTCGCGTGGTTATGCCAACACTTCCGGTAGACGCTTCTTCGTTGGTGTTGTTCAGCGGTTTCTTCTTCCGCTTGGCGGACTGTGAATATCGAAACTAGGAATCGAAATTTTAACTTTTGAACGATTCCGGGAAAAACGAAAAGTTAGTCTCGGTTCCAATCGATACTCGATTCTCGATACCCAACCCTAAGGAGGTGCTGAGCATCAATTTTTCGCTTGAAGCACTGTGTTTTTTAACAGTTGCCGTTAACAGTTGTAAAACGCAGCGCTCTTCACTGTCACTTTTACCTAGCTGTCCAATCATAGTGGAGGAGGGGCGGGACATATACCAAACTGACCAACTGTCGCATTCTGCTTGTACGTCAACAGATGACAACAACATGCATAATAATGGAACAAAAAAAATTTCAAATATGAGCCAGAGCAAATAGAAACAAGACAGAAACAAACTATCTGTGAAATGAGATACTAGTAACACTTCCGCGGATATTCCGCATCATAGCAAGCAAAGCTCTTAACTGAAAACTCGCTGCGCTGCCAAAAAGCGACCCCAGCTAGGCATTTTCTGCCATCTAAAACACTGGTGGAAACCAAGCGGCAACATTCTACTGAGTGCTTTTAGTGCGCAAAACTGCAATACATCTAAAATCCGCTAGAGGGAGGTCCCAAAAGAGAGCAAATATCCATAGACCTCATATTAAAATGTCCGTTTTCACAACATAAATTCGTGCTTTTACAATTTGATCCCATGGACTTTTATTGTATTTTTCGATAGGTTCCGAGTGCCTGACAACTGTGAGGGGGGTGAATTTTTTTCTAACTCGTTACTTTAGATCATATTTAAATATAAAATGTTTGACAAATAAGGGCGGTTAACTTTGATTGACAGCTGATAACAGGCTGCGCCGAGTGGAATTTGACGTCTCGGCCATGATCTGACACAACACATCATACCACCTCCGTATCCTTTCTGAACATTTGTATTTTGTATTTCCCAAGATTTTCCAATATGGCGCCGCCCATACCCTTCATAAACAGCCTCAAAACTGTTCTTCAGAAAGTCTATGGGTGACGTCACAGACGCTTTGCTCATATTTTTACAGTCTATGGTGGAAACGTGGCCTTCTTCTAGACAGTTGCAAGAGTATTCATGGTTGATAGTCTGTTCTATATGGTTGTTAGGGTGGTTCCTGAGGTTTGTGGAGTGGTTTTCCTCTATTTTTGCTACTGCGTTTGAAGGTTGGTGCAATAGGTGTTCTGTTTTTTAGCAAGTCGCTCTACATTTGTTGGGATGTTCTTGGCCGCATTTCATGGGTGGTTGTTTAGGCATTGCTAATTTGATGTTAGGGTGCTCTAGGTCTAGGTTGCTAAGGTGTTAGGACTCAATTAGCGAGTACTAATAATAAACAATGCTGTTACCTTGTTGTGCAGAGTCCATTGCCGGCTGCTTGCAGTCTTGTGCACGATGCCCACTCAGCCCACAGTTATAGCAGGATACATTCCCTGTTTTCTTATGCCCAGAGCTTCCGTTTCCCATGATTCCATGGGGCTGGTACACACCACCCCCTCCTCCAAGAAAACCCTGCACTGGCGGGAGCACAAGATTCTGTTGAGAGTCATGTGATAGGCTGCTGTTGTAGATAGGCGGGGCCACCAGGGGGTAGGAAAAAGGGGAGGCGGTCCCATTTCCTGTGAGGAGCGGGCTGAAATGAAGCAAAGGACCTAACGTGAACACTGACGTTCCTGAGAACGGATGTGGAAAGTAGCCGGCGTAGCTAGCCGGAAGTGCCCCGTAGGAGCCACAGTTGCGGCTACAGCCGCAAGAGCTACAAACGCACAATGAGGTACTGGAGTTAATGCTGTTTGCTTGCACCGAGGCGTAGCCACTATTCTCTGTGGATGCTGAGCTAGAACTATGCGTGACCACGGGTGTGCTCTTTACACAGTAGGTATTGCCAGGTACTGCCGCCATGGGAACGCTGCTGGCCGGTGAGAAAGAGGGTCTGGTGGAGGAGCAGGATGACGGGCAGGAGGACGGGGTAGAGAAATGGTACGCTCCTGTACTTGGAACAGAAGAAGACACTTGTAAGTGTAAGGGTGGGTGAGAGACGTGGTGGAGGGTGTTAGATGTGGCGGTGAGAGCAGTGCTGGTCTCCACCATGAGACCTGGAGGGGAACGAAGCACCGTGAGGGGCCCACGGGGGGACGACATGTCCTGGTGTCCTGGGGAACCGTCAAGACTCAGCCCAGGGAAAATGTTCTCAAGTCGGACACCCAGAGCAACCCCGGACCCCACGGGTTTAGGACGTTCTTCTGAACAGAGAGGGGGTGGGCGAGGTTTGCGGGGGGAGTTGAGAACCCGGCCTGGGGAGAGGAGGGGTAGGGAGGGAGGGGGCAAACTCATTTGGGAGGGATCATTCTGGACTGGGAGGACTTGGGCTGTGGGACGGCTAGGACCGGTGGATACCGCATGATTGAGGAGAAAGCATGACCGCTCTTTCTCGCCAGGATCCAAACCAGACTCCAAACCTGATAGAAGTGAAGTATGCAATAATTGAATTAACAATTTATAAGTATTTTTAAAAATATATCCTAACGATGTTAATAATACAACTAAAAATAATTTCAAGATTTATCTTTAATAAAAATGTGTTATTAAATAATAATAATAATCTAATCAATAATAATTAAATAATAATATTTATTAATTAATAAATATTATTAAATAATAATATTTATTAATTAATTAATTCTTAATAATTGTAATGTTTCATTCTCACTGCATTCTAGTTTTCAATATACTTAATACTCCAATTACCAACTACATTTGCCAA